TTAATTTTTGCTCAGCTCTGGGCAGACCCAAATACGGTCTTTTCCCACCCCAAAAGAAATCATACCCCTTACAGAGAAGGACAATAAACCTGAAATGATCAGATCGTAACTAACCCCATGGACCAGGAGGAGAATAGCCTAAGCATTAAAAATTACAGCTTGAAGCACGCAAACCCAGATCCTAGCAAATGCAAGACTGAGGAGGAAGAAATCCCCATCATCATCCTGGTGAAGAGCCCCAACACAGGCAGATTGCTGCAACACAAGAGGGAAGGGGGCGGGCACTTACATCTACCGATTTTGTTGCATTAGTAGTAATCTGTAATATAAATTGGGTGAGCCGGATTATTATTGTGATTGGACTAAGAGTAAGTGGTTGATGCATCTTTGAGATGCATCTTTGAAGCATTAATTAGACCAAAAATAAAAGGGAATTCCTGGATCCATAGGTAAGGCAAGTTCTTTTGGGTGCCAATGCATGAAACTATGTATGTAACGATCTAAATTTTCATATCCCCCGCGGCTCCAGAGGCACACAGGCGCAGGCAGAGCTCACCTCCACCCAGCCTGGCTCTTGCGGGAGACACTTAGAGGTAAATTCTTGTCCACACCAAGAATCTGGGTGATAAAACGCTCTTTGCTCTGTGGTTTTGCCATTTCCAAAGGAGTCTCTGCCCCACCTAACCGCACCACATTGACTCTCCCCCTCTTCCACTGCACCTCGATCGTAAAGGTGACGGGCAACCCCCCTGAAAAAGGGGCTTGATCCAGAAGGGAGCTCAGGAAGAAATTATTCTTGGTTGTGTGAAAGGGAGAAGGCAAAATTGGCCACGGAGATGAATTCGATCTGTTATTTTGAGGGCTTCACCGCACAGACTTCTCCACACCTCCCCAAGCCCCAGAGCTTGGGGCGCAGGGTCGCACATACACCCCGGGCACGCATGCGCGCACACACATGCACACACTGCTTTATTACGTATTTTTTTCTTAGCAAAAAAATAAAAATTTATTGTCCTCTAAAAAAAAATCCATCCTGCCCTTGGAAACTGTGACACAGATTGAGTTCTTTCCAGCCCCACATGCAAATTCACTCTGCCAAGAAAAGAGTCTAAACCAGGTTTCCGACAGCCAAAACACATATTTACAGAGTACGAGAGAACGACAGCTGAAATCACAGTTCTATACATGGAATCAACAACACGTTTTACACACCACCGATCACCATTCTGCCAACTTCTACACGGACTAGGGGCGCTTCCGCCCAGTGCCCTTCCTCCTGGGGAAAGCGGGGAAGAGACTGGTCAAGAATTGCCACCAGAAATACTGCAGTGTGTATTATTATTATTTTTCTTAAAACGTATACTGTATTTATTTTGTTTTAACATTGGAAGCTACGGAGTGGGGAAGCCCCAGAAATCTCTCCAATGCAGTCACTAGTTTGCAGGAATACTTCACCTTTAAAATACTAGGTTTTACATCAGTAACATCTATTTTGCTGTTGGCCATCACTCCCAGGATTATTATAATTCTGGAGGAAAAGACTGGTAATATTCTTCCTTCTCAGATTGGGGAAAAGGAGAAAGAGAGGAGGCTCGGAGGCTGGAACAGCAACGAATTACGGAGTCCATTCAGCGTTACAGGCTTCCTCGCAGGGTAAGGACTTCTCTTCATCGTCTCAGCTGCACAAGCCTTGCAGGTGGCTCAGGTTCAGCTTCAGAGATGTACGGAAAGTGTAAAACTCTTCCGCAGGGGATCAGCTGCAACGAGCCCCTTCGGGGGGGATCTGCTTAAGGAAAATGTTGTGCTCCAGCTCGGAGACTTTCCCCCGGCCCCTCCTGTGCCACCATGTCTTTGCCACAGCTGGCATGCGGCTACGTCATCTAAGGCCAGAGATGATCTAAAAGTGGTCCTGTTAGCCCAAAGCTATGGCAAAATTCTTCAGCTCCTGGCTCTCATCTACAGCTCTACCCTTGCTTTTTGATATCTATCTACCCAGGATAGTGTTGTCTTAAGCCATCTGCTTCTATATTGTTTTTCCATGATAATGTAAAAGTTTATTGACCTTTAAGATACTGTGGTTTCACAACACAATTAAGACTCCCGAAGCCCAGCTCTTAGCTCAGAAGTGTCCGACCTGCACAATTAGTCACCAAGGTCAACACTTCCAAATCTCCCAAAAATTTGGGGAGGAAAATGTCATCCAATAAGGAGCCTGTGTGAAGAGGCAGTACCCAGACACGTTCAGGGCTGTTCAGCAACAGCCAGCTGGGCTGCTCATCAAACCTTGTGGACCAAAACTTTGTTTTGAAGCGTGACTTGGCCAAAAAAGCCCCCTTAGTTCTGATGTGTTACACATCTCCTGTAAAAGGGAGTTCCCGCTTCAGAAGGAAGCGTGATAGTACATTACAGAGGCTGTACACATTAGCACCAGGTTTATTTCAACAGGACTCTTTTTACAGCTGACCACAGACTCTTAAGCCCTAAACACAGTGCTGTGATCACAGTTCATCCTTCCTGCCCGGGGCAGGCAGTAACAACTGCTGGAGTGGGTCAGAAATGCTGCCCTTTCCCCCTGCTCTCACCTCACTCAGTTATGAAATTGTCACATAAGTGGCCCCCCAAAATATTCACAAAATACGCAAAGATGAAGTTCTCTTTTCCATCTGATGCTTAAGAAAATAATTCACATTTCAGATATTTCTTTTTTTTTTTAAAGCAGCAAACAAATTCATAGAAACCTAAATTTAGAAAGTGTTTCTTAAAGAACCAGACGAAAGCGAGAAACAGCCTATGTGCTTGTGCAAAGAGAGTGCCGAGACACATCGGGGTGGGGGCAAGGGAAGGGGCTAGTGCTAATTCCTTCAGGCTGTTCTGCCATGAGTGCAGCGTGGCAATGGAAAGTTAAAATTTCAGGGCCACGAACGGGTGAAGTCTTAAACTCTTTGGTCCTTCAGTGTAAGTTTTAAAACAGGGAAACTGTTTTACTCAAAAGGGAAAACTGTGCTTTCTCTGGCCTGGAATTTTCCTTGTACCCCCCTGCCCAAGCAACATGCCCCCTCGGAAACTGGGGGCAAATATCTCTTCCCACTAGACCCAACAGCCCCGCATCACCGTGACTGGAAGTCCCATTGAGACAGCTAGAGCTGCCACCCGTGGACAAGTCCCATCTGAAGAGAAGGGACAAAGTGAAGAGCCCCGTGGGAACGGGATGCAGTCACGCAGCCAGGTGCTGGACAGTTCTGAAAAAAGAGGGTTGGCCAAAGGCAGCATCACCCTGAACAGTCCCACAGGGAGGCAGGAGAGCAGATAAACACCACGCTAATAAAAACTAAGTGTTACAAACCAATAGCCAAAACAGGCTGATCAGCTCTGGTTCTTATAAATATTAAAGACCTGATTCAAGAGTTTATTTCCTATGATTTAAGTTAGTTACAAAAACTTTTTAGTAAATTTTTATCTTAATTGGGCTTTTTCCTCCTCCCCCCACTTTTTTCTTTTTTCCTTTTTTTTCTTTTTTTTTTTTTTCCTAAAAAAGAAATGTTCACGTATTTTAATAAAAGGTCTTTCCTTAAGATCAGACCAAGGCAGATGCGCTGCCCCATGGCACAGACATTCAAAGGCTATAACCAAACAACATAGCCACAATAGTCACTCAAGAGTGTCTCTCCATAAAAAAAAAAAATTAAAAAACCTGATGCTAGTTACAATAAAATACACATGGAAAAAAAAAAAAAGCATTTTTACCAAAAAACCCAAAAACAAGTTAATGGGACAAACATAAAAAAGAACTACACAGAGCTGCACTTAGGAGATCATCTGGGAATGCATATTAACCCCTTCCATGTAAAGGAAAGGTGGAATTATGGAAGCAAACCTAATTATATCTTTGCATTAAATATGAAGCTTTCTGAGAGGCTCCGGTAAAAATTCAGTTTTCCTACACCAGTGGGCTGCTGGAGGTTCCAGTGCTTTTCCAGGTCAGGGAGGGGTAGCACAGGCAGCATCCCTGTGCAAAATAAAAATGTTTAGTCAGCTGAGTGGCCTTTTGGTTGAGATCCCAGCGGGTTACTGCAATCCACCTGATGTAAAAATCCAATGGACACGCTAGTAAAGAAAGTCACAGGAAAGCTCAGCTACTGGACAGGTCTAAACTGGTGGCATTTCTTTGCTATGCTGGACTTTCTCTGTCATCACAGGCATACATGATCTCTAGCATGAGGGCTTCTGGACCCAGTAGTCCACAAACCACACTTGAGGCGCTGACGCAGGCAACATCGACTCTGTTCAACAATGTCCTCAGACTACCTGGAATTGTTTCATGCATTTCAGCAGTGACTATGAATCAGGTCCCTGTGGATAAAACAAAATTAATCTAGTTCAAAACACTAAGAAGTCTCTAGACAGCCACCAGACAAAGGGGTGCCTGGAGAGAACTAACCTCTGCATCCCTATTTCTTTCATAAAGGGCTTTAGCTGACACAAGGGCAATACTTCTAAGCTGCTCAGACCTGGAACATTTTAGCTGTATCAGCAATGAACACTAGTCACTGAATTTTGGGGCTTGGCTTGCTCTAGGTCCAATGCATTTTTTTCCCTCTTTTCTTCTTTTCATACAAATATACAAAGAGTGTAAAAAAAATTTAAAAAGCGAACTTTGCTGATTAAATGACAGACAAAGTTCCCGCACATTCAGAGATCGGCAACGTGAGGCCCACCAGGCAGGCACCCAGCGGAGCTTCCATCAGGGAGGACAGCTTTAACCAAGCTGGGTCAGTGAAAGAGCAGGGAGACCGAAGACATGAAGAAGTCATTTCAATCCACCTCGATCCTCCCCGTGATCTCAACTCTTCCTCTGGAAAGCACATGGAAGCCCCTCTTGCCCACTCTAAATCCTTCTGGAAATAGTCAAAAATTTGTTATCACCTAAATAGAAAAGAGGAGAAACACAGACTCTGCAAATGGCCCTTTGATCTGTATTAAAAACAGCTCTCAAAGTTCCTCAAGAGTTAGAATTAGTGGGGCATGGGTGAGGGGCAGCTTAGATACGGGATGTAAAATATTAAAAAGTGCTCTGCAACTAATTTTTGTTTTATGTGTGTATGTGTGTGTGTGTGCATATATATACATACACAAACATGCACATACACACACATATATACATATATATACACATATATATACACACACATATATATATGTACACATACATATATATGTACGTATGTATAAAGTTAAAAAGTTCTATGCGATATGATTAGAACAAGTGTCCTTGGAAGGTCACGACTGGAGAGAGTGGGGCCTGTTGGGATGGCAGATGGGGCACTCGCCCTCCTCGGCGCACGTTTCACACAGCACTGCGTGTTGGCACGGTAACACCACCCGGTTCTCCTCCTGACACTTAAGGCATTTCACTGACTGCACCTGAAATACCGCCTGCAAGAGAGGGGGACAGGGCAAAACGTAAGCATCAAAGTCACAAAGCAAAAGGGCTCCCGTCCTGTGCTACACAGTTTGGGGAAGAGCAAGGAGGCAGCAGGGGAAGGACTTGCAGCTGTCCGCCCATTCATCTTCTGAAGCAAAAGCAAAGCAGCACAGCATGATGTCTTTTAGGACCTTTAGGATCAACAGAGCAGCTTTGATTGACTTAAACTCTGTACTTCAGGCACAAAGAAGAGGGAGGTATTTTCCTGTAAGCTGGCTAAAACTCACTTTGGCTACATTCACATGGAATTGCTTTGATAGGCTGCTGGTTTCTGGCTGTATCAAAGAAAAGGGAAAAAAGCTGCGATCTGTAGGAGCAGAGAGAGCAAGGCCCCGCCCTGCAAGTCCCTGGCACTCACCTTATCGACTTTCTCTAGGTTTGCCCGCAGCTGTTTCTGAAGGGTGTAAAGCGAAGAAAGCGAGAGCGTTTCCAGGTCAGAGAAGGAACGCAGAAACTGAGGATCCTGGCCTGTGTGGATCCTCTCCAGCTCCTCCTGCAGTTTCTTCACTTGCAGCTCCAAGGCTTCCCTCTGCTCCCGGGCCAGTTCACATTCCATGTTAGCTGTGTTGGCGCGATCATTTGCTTCCTCTGCCTCCTTTTTCCAAGCATCACAAGCCTACAAGTTCCAACAAAGAGGGTAAAAGAAGCAGTCTGAAAACTTGGTCAGCCTCCAAGAGAGAATCCCAGGCAAAAACATCCATTTTCATATACTGCTCACCAGGAGCATGCTCTGTCCAATCTGCCCCATTCCCAAATTCTGAAACACCCTTAGAGCTTCGGTTCAAAGCGCCGCTCATTCCAGATACCCCATCTGATTAGGCTGTGGTTCTACATATTTGGCTCACACCATTAAGGGGATGAACTTTGCATACCAGCAAATAGTCATGGATCTAAGTCAACTGGCAGGTCTTAGAGACTGTCAAGCACTTCAGTGCATCTGCTACGACACCTGGCCTTGCACTTCCAGCATCTGAACACATCAGGCACAGTGATTCAGTCCCTCTTTCCAAGGGAGAAGAAAGAATAAGAATGCTCAAGAGAATCTGTTTGTAAAACCTACAGCTCTTCCCATCACCTCAATGTCTGGAAAGCTCCTGTTGAAAGGCTGACACCCTCCTACTCCTTTACACTCCCTAATCCCTCTTCCCAGGAGTTGCCCAAGTACCTGTTTGGCTTGTTTCCAAGACTCTTCCCACTGCTTTATTGTGCCGTTGGCTTCATCCAGTTCTTGTCGTAGCCGTGCCAGCTCCGCAGCACCTGGACCTGACAGAAATGCAGGTGAGGTACTGGGCGAAAAACTCCCCGAAGCAAAGTGCTCCCATATGCTGCTGTTCATCCCATTTAAACCTGTTTCACAGGGAAATAGAGAGGGTTATGTCACAGGTGCTGGCAATTTCCCCATTTCCTCCCTACCCCTGTGAAATCCAGGATTCAAAAATGTGTACATAGGAAAGAGAAGATCATCTTAAGAATGATTTTCATCCCCAGGACCCAGGAATCTGTCATAGACGGACTTTATAGGGGAAGTTTCACACCATTAGGCCTCATCTTTAATGATATAGGGAGGACCCAAGAAACTGAGTGGAGGCAACTTTTGAATGAGGCTTGTTTTAGAAGCATCTATTTTATAGCAGAGCTGACTACCAGCTTGAATCGCCCTTCTCATATTGAGAACCTCTGAACTGCTTACTACCTTCCCACTTTTCTGTGCAGCACAGCCATCAGCATTGGTGAACAGATTGGTTCACACAGCCAACCCAGGCGGTGCTTCCTCTCACATTATACCCTAAAAAACTTCTGGTTTTGTCTTCTCAGCTTGGTGCTTAGGAAAGGAGTCTCGCTTCCCAAACAGTGAGACTAAAATGCGCCAACATCATTACTGTTTGCATATGCAAGAAACAGCACTAACTGGAAAACCCTGTTTATAAACAAGTGGAGGCAATAGTATATACACATCAGCTTCCTCCCCTGCAGAGTTCTAGCATAAAGCTAGTGACTGGCACCAGAGACGACCAACTAACCAACCACTTCCCTACTTTAGCTTGTTCAAATAATTTCTCTTTTCAGGAAGAAATTCAAGGCTGAGGAGACAAAGCAGTAGAAAACCAGTTGTAAACAAAACTCATTATTTTTCACAGGCTCCGAGGTTTGTACTCTTTTAATAACAAAAATATTTTTACTTAAAATAAGCATCCACACTTTGCACTCAGGGGAGAACTAGGAGGAAAAACTCATATTGAGACAGAGCTACTGAGTGATGTGGACATTCCTAAATCTAGTTTCATTTAGTAATTCTGCTGATTTCACAGCAGCCGAACTGACTGTGTCTGCAAGCAAGCCCTGGAGCCAATGGCCTCTCACTGAGGGCTAACCCAGCACCACTTACTTCCCATTTAGTACCAGCCAAGACACAGTTACAAAAAATACAGCTGAAAAATAGTAACTCGACTTCACTAAGGGCTTACGTGCATTAACAAGTCATTTAGCAGAACAACAAGGGCTCTTCACTGGCTCAAGACACTTACCATGGATCTATTTCAGCTGCTCTGAAGCATGCTCCGTTGAGAGCAAGAAGTTTTAATAGAACCTCAACTCACATTTTGTTTTTAAAGCTCTAGTTTTCTTGAAAGGGAATCTAGCACTAAGCAGGATGCTGGCAAGCCACAAATTCTGCCATAATGCTGACCAAGCTTATCTCGTCATTTCTTTTTACTCTCTCCACCTGCTGTTCTCATTTCACATTTGAAGTAGCAAGCTCCTTTGGTAAAACATTTTGCATCTAGCACAGTGGGAACTAGCCCAGGACTACGTATTTTTAACTCAACTGCAATACAAGTAAGTAATAACTACACAGACTACACACTAATTTATATGCATTCAGGAAGTCACATGGAATAGATAGATTCCACATTCCCAACTGCTAGGTTACTATTTAAATATCTCATCAAAACCTCAGCAAAAATTGTTTTGTTGTATTATAGGAAAATATCTAACTTTTTTCTTAAAAATCAAGTATTTCAGTGCATTTGTGAACTTCCTGCATTTCTTTGTTTTTTTTTTTATAACTACATAGTCAATACAAATATAACTGCTTAACTTGTTTCTTCTGAAATGAAAAGCAGGCCTTAGCAGCAAGTTTTCCTTTTCTTACTGAAATTGGGATGAACAGCCAGCCTCAACACTAATTAACAGCACAGATACCCTCTGATGTCTCTCTTCTTATTACAGTAATTGTAAAAGCTCTTAAAGCCAAACACATAGCAATCACAAGGCATGGAAGCATGGTTTTGGCCTATACAAACAAGGGATGCAGTTACACAGATAAGTGCATGCACAAAGAGATTACAAAAGCATGTAATAATTTTATTTGGTTAAGCTGAATATTAAAGATTAAAGTGTATCTCAGATTTGAAGAAGCATTTATGTCTAGTATCAATAGAGAGAACTAATATTTACTGTTACTAACAGAAATCAGCAAAGCCAGTGTCACTGTAGCTTTGAGCCCATCCAATAGTTTTGTATCTCAAGGTAACCCTGCGTCTTAATAATAAAATAGATTTGGCCCCTCAATTCCCAGTTCTGCCTGGGAATTTCTCATTCCCTCACAGTCCCTCATACAGGAAACAGATCCTCAAGATGGTGGGGGGAGGAGGGGCAGGAAAGGAGCAAAAGGGACAAAGCTGGAACACTTTTTGCAAAGTCCGTACTGCAAAACTGCATGCAGAGTGCCGAACAGGAGAGAAAAGTACAATGACCCAAGTCTGCTCTAGAGCTCCCAGAAGCCAATCTGACCTACTGGCAGTCCCGAGGGCAAACTGCAATCCCCACCTCAACCAAGCAAAGCTGAGGACCCAACTCTGAGTTTTATGTCAAGTGAAGTCTCAGCACAGCATTGCTGGCAGGAAAAGGCAGAGCTCTTTTCCCTGAAAGGCATCATCAGAGCAAATCATTTAACCTATCTGTCTCTTTTTCTCAGTCTACAAACATGGCAAGTAGAGGGAATTGCTCCCTTATTCACAAGATATTAGCTGATTTTTGGTAAAGCAGCTTCTAGTACTGTTGCTGTTCTCACGGGAAGAGGAGATACAAATGGCAGCAGTGAAGTAATACATTAAAATTAAAGCTAACTTGAACGAAAATACTTACATGGCACAGACAGGCATGTACATGGGACACACACACTGTGCATTTACCTAATGATCCATGAGAAGCTGATGTCCCCAGGAATGTGTTTTCTGATTGGCTTAAGTGTCCCTGGGGCTGATGGAGGAAATGCGATGAGAGGCTGACCGGTGGAGAAGGAGAGGCAGAGTGAAAGGAGGCAGAGCTTCCAAGGGACCCGGGGATATTTACAGGAGCAGAACTTTGCAGCAAACTCCCACCTGGACAAAGAACACACAGAGAGGATGGCTATGTGTGACCATGAAGTGTGGGCCAGAGCAGGAGTTCAGAGCAGAAGGTGTTAGCTTCCCTCTCTCCTTCCTAAGCCCCTCGGGATTCCCTCTGCTTCTCATCACGTTTCATTCCCCTCACAGCCTTTAAGAAGAGCACTGAAGCTGCCGTCCCACAAACCACGTAGGTTAAGACCCTCCAGAGTTCAATGGATTACTCTTTCATCAGCCAAAGCAACAAAAGGTTTTCTGAGCAGAGTTCAGTCCCTATCAGTCCAGAGAAGATGAATTTGGTATCTGGTGAAATACTGTGTAACGAAAAATTCACTTCTAAAACATATGCCTCTGCTTTTAATACTTCCAAACAACCTGTGAGAAGTCAGTCATGCTGGATCAGGTCATGATCTTAACCACCAAAAATCAGTGACTAGCTTTAGTCATTTTAGACATACTTGAGTGCCTGGATCTATCAGTAATAAAAAACCCCAAATAAACAAAAGCCCAGCCTCCAAAGACATCACACGTCCCTTACACAAGAGGTCATTCTGTCTGCCACACACAGATTGAGGGAGATCTCAGCCCTGCTCCCCACTCTCTCCTGATCTCCCTTCTTAGAAGATTACCAGGTAACACCCAGACCTGACGTGAACAGAGGGAAAGGCAGCGTGGAGGATCTCTAAGCCACTGCAGATGGGCAGTGGCAGAAGGAGGGCTATCAGCAGACATGCACAGTAAACTCCCCAACCAGGCTCTTATCTTTGGCAGGGAAGTGGAAGCGATATTCTTTAGGGTTCCTTCCACAGGTCCCTTCCTACCTCAGTACAGCTCCACGCAGTGTAGTTCCCTTGCAAACCTTCAGAATACCCAAGTTAGCTCTCATTCAAAACCTGTCTTATACAGCAAGGGTAGCCAGAAACTACAACCACTTCCAAAAAGCTATGAGACATTTCGTTTTTCCTTGGACACTCATTAGAGACAGGTAGAAGGGGTCTTAGCCTACCTCCACATATTAAAATGAGACAGACATTACAGGAATCAAATCAGCAGACCGTGATGACACTCTGTGACAGATGGATAGCGTTACCAGGTCAGTGTGTTTCCTGTTACTGCTAGGGAGAGTTTTCTGCTTAAGATGCAAATCGTTATACTTTGGCCTGTTTTTAAAGGTATGAGATGCCTTCTAGAGTCCACTTACACACTTAAGGGGCGGGGGGGCGGAAATCAAGCAAGTCCCATTCAGTCTCAAGAAACATCCCAAAGACACCTGGGCCCAATGGCAAGAACTCAGCTCTGCTAGTCAATAAGGGCAAGCTTTCACTTCAAAGATGCTCAGCGGTTGCCAGAGTTTGTTATAATTGCTGTTTTAACCAATGTTATTTTGGGACTGGTTTTAGAGCTTTGCTGGGCTGGCTCCACTGAGGTGACTGGGCAACACTGCTTGGCAGAAGATAAAGAAAGCTCTGTTGCTTTCATGTACCTATCATGATGCCACTCGTGTGGGGCACTGTGCTGCTGTCAAATGTCTTCTCCAGGGCAGCCACTCCGAATTCATTCAGGTCCAGGTCATCCAAGGCAGACTCTGCCAGACACAGAGGTACCAATTATGTTATAAAGGACCAACAACTTCAAGAGATAGGATGGCCCAAAGAGCCTACATGCAGAGGAGCCTTCGCTCTCTATTTGTCAGTCTGCACAGCCCTACTCTCCGCCCTGTGCAACGCTGTTCTTAAATGATTTGGCAGAAGTGTCATGGGCAGCTTTTCAGTTCAGGTTCTTTTGCCTGATCTGATTTCTTTTTGTCTCAAAGTATTCCCAAATGTTATACAAAAACAGAAATTTGATGAAATAAACAGCAGTTCCCATAAGTCTTCCCCAAACTGCTCTTTCAAGTCTCTCCATAATATGCAGTAACACTGGCTTATGACATGTCTGGGTCTGGCTTGTGCTTTGTCCCTACTTTGCTGAAGAGCCACTCAGGAAAGAAATACCAGTAGAAGGGAACACTTGAAAATCATCTCTGAGGTTCAAAGATGGGGTAAAATAAAGAAAGCTTATGAATGCCTGCAAATGTTATATCTATTTGAACATGCCTCATCACTAGTCATGATTAATATAATTCCATCCCACACATGCCCACTCATTTCTATAATTATTTTTTAACAAATTAGTGAGATCACCTCAGAAACGTTAGATTAAAAAACCAACACAATCAGGTGACCAAAAAACCTGTACCTATCTAAAAGGAGTGATTCCACTCTCTGGACTCTCCTGTTCTTTTTCTTACAGCCTCTGTCCCACACTCTATGAAGGACAAGTCCTTGCAATCTACCTGGTGCTAGCCCTTGCTATAAAATTGTCATTTAGAATGTAAGGGGTTGTAACTGTGGAAAATACCCCTCTGGTTTCCTGCCTACTCCAAGACCTCTTTGTCACTTTGACAAACCTAAAACTAAGGCCCTTTACACCATCTGACATTCTGAATAAGTGGCTTGGAGGCCTTCAGTTGGTTCCACGGCTGAATTTCACCTGTAATGACCTGCACAAAACATCATGTGTCACAGTCACAGAAAAAGCTTACAGCCTCAGGAATCTGCCAACATTGACAGAGACGAAAAACTGGAGTTCACTGGAACACCCATGGCTATTCCAAGTCTCATACCTGGTGATCCACATCTGAGGAAGCCCCTATTAGCGTAAGTAAAAAAGGCAAAATTACCTATGACAGACTCAACGGTGTCACTGGTTGGGTAGAAAGGAAGGGCATTGGCATTCATGCCTGGTATGCTGCTGGTGCCAGCAGGGCTTGGTGGCGTTGCAGCCAGACTGGACGTGATACTAGAGGAGATGCTGGATGTCAGCGGGCTCCCCACTGGGAGAATACCCAGTATGTCCTGAAACAAGAGTAAAAAAAAGGAAATAAAACATCTTTATAGAAGAATCCCTTCAGAAACATGCAGGAACGAGCCAAAGATCAGCAGCAAACCTGTTCCTGCCTGCTTCCAACCTGACAGATGGCTGGTGCTACTACTAGGCTGGGGGTGGGGGAGAGATTAACAGCTTTTCTTTAATTTCTGCCGACTGTTCTCCATTCCCTGCCCCCCGCCCCAGTATTACAAACATCCTTCAGGCTGCCCCAGAATTAACTCCTGTGACCCACAGGTTGCATGCAATCACAGGGATGGGTCACACAATCACTCAGACTTAGTTCAGCACACGACTTAGAACCTGATATTAAATTCTCTTTGCCGAATCCTTGAACTTAGATGACTCCAGAGATTCATTCCAGCTCAATTTTCTGTAATTTGGAGACTCTCTCCAGCACAGTCCAGGCCTATGAATCTCTCCTGAATTCACACAGGTCTAGCCATTCACAAACAACCCCTCCAGCAAATCATCCCATCTTCATAAAGTAATCCCTCAAGCTGAGCATCCCTAATGGTGTCTGGACTGTCATTTACTCCCTGCAGAGTTGTCTGGATCCACAGAGATTTCTCGTGTCCTTGTCTGTGATGGTGTGAGCACTGAGCTAGGTTCAGAGCCCTGCTAGCAGTACTGTACCTGTTTGGGCTGTAACAAAGGTTGCTCCTGGCTCCTGTGTTCCAGTGAGTGGGACTTCATTTTTGCTTGCTGCAGTAAAGAAACAGAACAAAAGATAAGCAGAGGGATTAGCAGCAAAATTTAAAATGGCTGACTGCTGGCTTTAGAGAGGCATGAGAAACACCGTCCCCTCCTCTCTCACAGCCTGCTCTGGGCACTAAAGAATTCAGAGAGCGGGAAAGTAGAGCAAACTGAAAACACTTCAAGTAATTTGCTTTCTATATACCAAGACATCACTCCTAGAGTTATGCAAGGACTTGTCACAATTACACTTGCCTTCAATGCTGCTATAAGTCCTCTGCTTGCACAAAAGACATCTTAAGAACCAAGACCAAAAATGAATTATTTTGCCTTGCTATAAATAACTCATCAGCCCTACTAGTATCTAAAAGAAGGGCCAGAAATGGTGGGAGGCACACTATATTTTTAAATTATGTAAACGTTTTTCAGCTTTGTGAAAATAAAGTATGTAGATTATGTTTTCCCTCAAACTTTTCCAGCTCCCAGCTAGGACTACAATGTAAAATAAAGTGATAACTGACCAATTTTAAAAGCAACGTCATCAAAACTGATTTTTAAAAAAATCCTTCCCCCATCCATTAACATAGAGACCTCAAAGCTATAAAACATAAGTGAGATCAAGGCTGTCTGGAATTGCAAAACTGCACGAATACCAACATACATTTAGAATTCCACCATCCAGCCTAAAAATTCAGCTTGAGGACCTTCCTGTACCACATCCTTAACGGATATCAACCCTCTTGCCTCACAACATCAGTCAATTCTGAGCTACAAAACCAGAGCTGGGAAGGAAGTGGCCTCTTGAGCTTGTCACTGTGCAACGGTCTGTTCTGCAGGCCTTGCTCTGTTCCTCCCATGCTGCTATATGCGTAAGGCACAGGGAGATCAATCACACCCTCTGGGCACAGAGAGGGAGCAAAAAAGTGCTGAGAATCAGGCTGCTTGTTTACTCGCTCTCCAAACCCCCCAGTCTGAATCAGAGACATATTCCAGGCATAAAGTCCGCTCAATCATTTTTATCGCAAACACAGGCAGTCGCCATCTCTGCAGGGGAGATTCAGGCATGATGTACAACAGCAGTGCATAAGACCCCACACTGACCTGAAGTGATACGCCTTGACTTTTTGGCTTAAACAGGCTTATGAAGAAGATAAATGATTGCTGGAGAGGGATGACATAACAAGACAGGCAAAAGAGCAGCGGAAGAATTCATCCCTTGGTTTTACTTAATTAAATCATTTTCTCTGTTCAACTGTATGCCTATGGGCCGATGGGGAGGTCAAAGCCTGGCAAACAGGCAGTTGAGACATGGACGCAAAGATCCTTCTGCAGAGGGTACCATTCTCTCACGCTTCCCTGAACAGCATACAGTGCGTTTACATACAGCAAAACTACCCCTGAACCTATCACAGGCTTGCTTTCCTTTGTGTGCAATAGATGTGTTACGTTAGTGCATCTGTGTGTGCCTGATAACACGCCTGCTAGATTATCCAACACATCCCTACCCTGTCTGACACTCATCTGAACACAAGATGTGCTATCAACAGACGTCAGAAGCTAAAGTGAAGGCACGTACGCAGCCATGCCCCCACCGCTGAGAGGCTTCCTGCCAATGTAGCTAGCTGGCTCTGGTGCAGTTAAGTCTTACTGGAAGGTTTTTTTCCTTAAGGAGGAGAAAAAGTGAACTCATTTCTAAGCTAGTCTCAATTTCCACTGCCTTGAATTCATGTAACACCAGTGAAAAATGGAGCAAACCGATTGCCATCACTAAGCCCGTCTCCTTTAGCTCTGAATAACATTAAAAAGGGCATACATCAAGACAGAAATTCAAAGGGCAGGCTGAAATTCTCCAGCTCACTCTGTTGCAGTCAGGAAAGAAAACAGGGGACATAAATTACAAGTGAAACAATGTTTTCTGACCAGCATGGAACAAACCTACTGTACTGTGTGTCAGGACTTAGGAACACCTCCTGGTCGTGGCACTCAAGTCCTTCCAGTGCAGCCAGCGTTTTCCCAGCTTGCTAAATCTTTTGGGACTCAGGAAGAGTATTTTTAGCTTTAACTGCTGGCTCAGCCTTACCACAAACTATGTGGAAGCTATTACACAGAAGGTGCATTTTTCATTCTAATAAGATAGAAACTACTTGTACTAATTCTACAGCGGAAAAATGACAAGCCTATTGCAGAGCTGCGCCAGAGTGTCTCTTAAGTTTTCAAATATGAGTGAACACGGTTAAATGTCTAATTATTGGTCTAATTTACAGGGTATATGAGAATCTCTAGTGCCCACTGCAGCCAAAGGGAATTACAGAGGATTTTAAAAAGTAAGTAATTATAGATGAAAAGAAAATTAAATCAGGACACTTATGAGACACCTAATTTTGTCTGTAGAAGCCTAGCATAAGGCAACTGTGATTACTTCCATCTATATCTTAATAGCTATTTATTCCAGTCATTTAATACAGGTTTTTGCTTAATTAAAGCCACATGAGTAAGAAGCTACCTAAATACAGTATCTTTGTAGCACAGCCTGGACTTCAGACATAAATGCTCATCATCTGGCCCTCCTTTTAAAAGTCCTATTCATGCTCCATCCCCTTTCTCCTTGGCTTTGGCTTGCTGCTCATTTTCTCCAAAGCAGGGCCTCCCTGGCATCCTGCCTCTGCTGGCAGGAATCAGGGGTTCTCTCAGTCCTTCGGCTTTGGGTTCACTCCTCCTTTGCAGCAGAGGCAATGAAGAACGAGCACATGTTTTTTCTTTTGTTTCTAAAGAACTGCTACAAGCTGCTGTGCCCACAAGAAGTGCCAGGATCACAGCATGGTCTGCTCTTTACCCCCAAAGCCATGTTGCATCAATTTGAAATTTCCTAAGCCACATCCACATTAAGCAAGACAATGAAAGCATTTATAAGAAAGCGTACATGCATATAGCTTAATCTGTATTTGTCACTAAACCATTTTAATTAGACTAAACAGTGTTCAAGACTGGTCCTACTGCAAAGTTTGGTCATATTTTCCCAAAGTTGTAAAAATAAATAAAACAAAACCCACAGAGTCTGCTTCTAAATCCAACTACTTTATGCAAGAACTTGTCTGGACGGGATATTTCCACTGTTTTCTCACAGCAATGCAATACTAAAGCAGCAGTATAACCTCATTAAAGCTAGCTTCCTTAATATTACAGACAAGAGTTTAAATGTAGCCAGGTTGAAAGCAGCATTTCTTGTCATCTCTGTTTTTAAGCAACATAGACCAGGTATTTTTATTCCTTTTTATACTTTTTTTAAAAGGAACTTGTAGGAAGTATTTTTGCAGGCACCTCTTCATAAAAGTAGCTATTCCTTCCCCTAAATTGAAATGTTGTTCTATTACATTTACAAACCCAGTGAGGAATAAAAACTGAGACCCAAGCTTTGGGTTGGACTCAGCTGACTTGGAAGGGATGGTGCAGAGAAACTATTAATTGTAACATCAAGAAAGGAAATTCACAATAAGAAGTTGACTGTGGAGAAGCTCATGTGTGGCAGAAGAGATGGAAGAGACTGTTCTAGGCTTAGCAGTCTGAATAAGGCATGACACCAAGACGAAGAAGACTGAGGAAGCAGCAAGGCAAGACTGGGATATCCAAAAGGGATAAGAGGGAATGTCATTAGAGATGTGGGTTGGGTAAGATTGCAGAGGGTTCGTCAAATGAGAATGAGGAATTCAAATTTTATACAGAAGCCACAGGAGAGAGTCAAGGATCAGAATGATACAGCCAGAGAAGCAAGAGACAACTAACAGGACATTTTTAATACATCGGAAAAATGAAGGGTGAAAACAGAAGACAAACCAAGTCACGAAGATCAAGGTAAGAGTTCGGAGTGAGAACAGAGAAGGAGGGATGAGTTTCCATGAGACAATACAGCAAAAGAAACAGCGACTCTTGGCAAGGACCTAAATATGGAAAAAGAAAGAGCAAGAAGTGATATGTGGGAACTACCCAGGGTCAACACAGGACAGAAGTTGTGAGGGATTAGGAAAACAAGCAGCAGCTCGACTACAAACTGAGTGTGTGATGGCAGCTAGGCAGACAAGAACAGATGTAAGATGGAAGAGACTGGAAGGGAGGCTGAAAGCAACAGCAGGGATCTGAGAACTGCTAATGAGAATAGTACTTTCTCATTTTTGTCCCTTGAAAAATAAAAATACATTCAAGCTAGACTGGGCAATTTCTCATTCCTCCTCATCCCCCCAACTCTTTCAGCCAATACTCCCTACTAACCTGGCATTTGAAACTCTTCAAATACTCGGCCCCCACCTGATCTTCTCGCTCAAACCCCGGTGCTTTCTTGTAGCTGCCAGCTGCTGTTACAGAGTCTGAAGGAAAACCAATGGTCTCCAAGCTGTGTGGCTTTCCAATGGCACCAGGAGGAGACCCACATATATTAGATGGGCTTCCGAGACTGCTGTTCCTACAAAGAATCTAACAGAAGGAACAAGTGTCAGGAAAGTACAGCCAGCCAGGAGCAGCGACTCGAAGAGGAGAGGCATCCCATGGAACAGCTCGTTCACTTCACTGTTTGTGCATCGATTATACTGACAGTCAACACAAGCATACAAGCTTCCAGTAAACAGTAATTAAAAACCAGGAAAAAGCTCCAGTAGATACTGGATTTATACAGTCCCACAATTATGGTTTTACTGCCATTACTTTGTACTGGAGTGCAGTCTTATAAAAACCAACCTACAGCTCTAGTGACATTTATTCTTTTTGAGGCCTCAGATATGACTGAACAAGTTGCCAAACCTGACCAAAACTCTCTTTGCTTTCCTTAGGCTACAGAGGATCCTGTCTGCACTCTGAGTAGTAGCGTGAAGCCTGGAAAACTGCCGTGGCAGTCAGAACAACCAAGTATATCTGAGCTACGTGTAATACTGTATCTTTTGCTTTCCAGTTGGAAATCTGAAAGTTTTAATGCAGGCACAAGCCAAGTATCAATAGCTGCATTAAAAAACCCAAGGATTTCCAACAGTTCCATTCTTTGGACTAATATCAGGGATCACAATCACATGCAACAAGGCTAGTTTTGCACTGTAGATGAAGCCACAGACAGCAGCAAAGGAGATTAAGATGAGTTTTAGAGAAAGCGCCTACCTGGATCAATGCAGGTATCCCATTTCTCTGGGACAAGAAATTATTTGCCTGCACTGGCAAGCATGACTGTGCTTCAGACAACATTTAGACAGCTACTGCTACCACAGGTTCAAATGTGGCACAGTCTGGGCTAGCATTAGAAAGAAGGACCATCCTACAGTGTTTTGATTTTATTTTTATACAGATATTCTGCTGTCCACGCTTCCCTACAGTCGCAAAGATACTACTCACTGTGGTGGAGGTGGGGCTAGTTGGCAGAGTTCCTGATTTATTCCACACCTACAGTACAAATACAAAACAGAACAGGCCACGTGAGGCTGGCTGCTAGAGGGACCTTTTTCTCTGATTAATTCATCATGTAAAATGATCACCAGCAAAGCCATATTTGTTTGCAAGCCACATGCAGATGCCCTGTGGAGTGATGAAGTCACAGAAAAGACATGTGTTGCCATTTGGCATATCTCCAAGGATTAGGAAAGGCTGTTTAAAAGACTAAGAGCTTGAGATAGAAAAAGACCTATACGGTCTATTAAGTGGAAGATATCTTCAATTTCTGCAGTTTTCAGATAAGTTAGATGATACATTGATAAGACGAAGGGGTTTTGTTTTTTTACTGCTTTCCACAGTGTTATTTAGTGAGAGAAAATATTATGTCCAGACTTTTCAAGATCTGTTTGGAATTCTAGCTGCAATCAAATTCAGGACAACTATGAACTGTTAGGTTGGCTTTGGTGCTAATAAAATCAAACTATCAGCTTCTCTTTTCAAAGAGGGGGAGTAAGATAAAACAGAGGTCCTAAATGAGTTCACCTCATTCTGACCAGTTTCAAATGAGTTAAACTCATGTCATTTTACCTTCTCAAAACCTCGACCAACCATGTGAAAAGGTTACACACTTTATCAACAGTGCAAACAGGAAAGACTTAACGAACAACAAAAAAAAACTCTCAGGAAAAATGAAGTGGTCTAGCATTCCATGGGCTTCTTATCTGTCTGTGTGTATCTGTTCAGCATTTAAAGATCTCCCTTCATGTATGTACAACTAAAATAAAGTACTACCAACAATCTGGGGCATTACTTAAACATATTCCAGAGTTTAGCTATCTCTAGAAGTAGGTGAGGGAGGGAATCAAGGATATCCTATAATGCAACACACAATATGCACAGGCTAAGCCTCTGAGATTACATGTGCAAACAAACTCAATTGTAGTTATGTACTTTAGACGTTACTGGCTCACAGCCTTTAATTAGAGTACTTGGAAACTAAGCCCAATATGTACCTCCAGACAGGAAGGAGTTGGACTTCATGTGCGGATGTATTCCACTTTCCTGAAAGTACATCAACAAACTCTGCACAGAAAGGAAGGCTGAGAAATTTTATAGGTGAGAGGACAATACTAAAGCCACCGAACTGTATGTTCCAAACAAACAGATCCCTCTAAAAAGTGTGGAGCTGAGATCCAAAAGAAAAATGCCATATCCTTTGAGCTTTTGGATACTTAAAGATTTCTCTTCTTGGGAGAAAAAAGTACAGAGAAACAGAGAAACCCAGATTTATAAAATATGGACAAGGCTTCCCCACAGTGCTACATACATTGCTAAGGTCTGGGGCATGTGGACTGGAAGGGCTGACCGGAACAGAATCACCAGCTGCCGACGGCATATACATCACAGGGCCTGTCTGTGTCGGGCTAGACACAGCCGAGGATTGCTGTAAATCTTCACTGAGCGTAGGCTCTGGAAGAAATAAAAGCACATGGAATGTTACTCAAAGCTGTACAATTGCAATGGAGCACAAGACTTTTAGGAACAAGAATACCTAGATATTCTTGAGAGAAGAAATATTCCACAAGCACCTACTTAGAAGTATAGAAGCAAGGAGAAATCTTATCTGGCAAATGGCTACTACTTATCTAATATTCCTTACACTATTACTGTCATCACTTGTACACTGTGCTGCTCTTTAGTCCATTAACACTGCTCCAAAATTATCTTCCCTGCATGAATTGTGTGTTATTCATTCAGCTGTCTTGAACTAAGCAGAGCTTCCTTCATTGCTAGGCACAAAGTTGATGGGTGCATTATAATCAGCTGAGGGAGATAAGTTTCCATCTGTGCTTAGTACAAACCATTACAAAAAAAAAGTAACATACATAGAAAGGCATACACAAAAAGAAAGTGTCATTGGCTTGGAAGGTAAAGCAGAGGTGCTGTAGACTTGTAGTATTTACATCTAACACAACTCAGCATCTTTACAAAAACTATATAACTGACACTATGCCTGTATTGCAGTATCTTTAAAGTACTGGTTTCAACACATTTCTTGCTAACAATCAGCAAAACTCTTGCTAAGAGCAGATATGATAAATGGACTCCTGTTATTTTAATTGAATTAGGCCCTCAGTGTTACCTTACTAAGAAAGGACTAGAAAGTACAATTCCATAAGACAGCACAAGAAATAACCAGGTTGGAATGACCTAAGTGCCACAGAACGTTACTCTGGCTTTAAAGTAGTATAGTATCAAGTACAGTAATCTTGTTAGGAATAAGCCATCTCCTAAACAAAAATACTATGTTATACACAAGGGAGTTTGCTAAACACTGTTTCTTTATCAAGATTTTCATTCTCTCTTAAGCTTGCTGGATCATACTGTGTAGCTGCACTACCGCGTTTTGGGCCATTATAGCCCACAGCTCTAGCTATAATTACTGCTTGTCGACAAGGCTTCCTATAAAAGGAACTCCATAACCTGTAGGGAATTTACTCTCACCATTCCTTGACAAAGGCAGCAATTACTAATTCCACCATTTACAAAGGATAATCAAATAACAGAGGTTTGCTCAAGGCCACGTAGTGAGTCAGTATCAGAGCCAATCTATTGACTTCTGAGTAACCCGCTCTAATTGCTGCAAATTCAACAGTGAGACTGGAGTGCAGAAACTGAGTAGGAACCATAGGACCAGGAGCTAACCATTTATCTATGAATATTAGTACCCACCTGAACATAGAACTCCCACAACCAAACCAGCATCACTAGTTTACAGATGATGAAAGTGAGGATTGAAATAATGCCCTATAAATCAGGGAGCTAGCGAGAAAAGAGGATTTGAGAAAAAGTGGACAAAAAGCTGCATATTTTTCTTCTCCAACCTGACTTAAAGTTTTAAACCCTAAGCAAAACTTCGTATATAGTAAAATAGTATTTAATTTTTAAAATGGATCAATACATTATATGTAATTAGCAATTTTATCCTCAGCTTTTTAAAATACAACACTTTGCAACTTAGCTAAGTACAGTTCATCCATGTACAGAAGAGAAGCAGCTCTCTCTGTTCCAGTCCTCCTAAACTGACATACAGAGGACTGAGCGAGTGAGAGGGAACAGAGGGAGATACTTCAAGAGACAGTGCAGTGAGAGCTGAGTCCTACACACTACCTACTGCCTTCAGCTCTGCCAACACCTCCCACACTAGCACGGTTTTATAGGAATTATCAAAGTTAATATTTCGTTTCTGAAAATCCTTCACAGAGCTCTAGTCTAGTGGCCCTACATTTTAAACTATCTATTTTGCCCAGAAGCTCTCCATAGCTCAAATATCCATGAAAGACGAGAGAAGCAGCCCACGTACGTTCTACATGTGCAAAGGCACAGAAGGGTCCTCGGGGACAGCTGCCAGACTGCTGCATATCATTGCATTTGGTGGATTTGTAGATCTAAGGATGGGAAAAAAAAAAACAAAAAAAACCAGACATGAACAGGAAAAAACAGTGACCGGCAGCCCAAGTACAAAAGTACTACGAAGAGACTCGACAGCAAGGTAAGAACACAGATAAAAGGCGCAAAGGCCAGCAGAGTTCAGGCTGACCATTTCAGTGCTTTGCTTCAAAGAAAGGAAAACCCACTATAGTTACAGAAACACCAAAATATGCCCATCACAGCTAAGCTCACCCAAAGATCAACCCATCACACATCAGCTCACCCAAAGGTCACCATTTACCATAAAGTCCCTCAGTCTCACTGGAAGCTCCATGGATATTACATGATAAAAGGTAGGAAACATTTGACAGATGACAGCACAGAAAGTTACAGCCACATGTTTGCAAGGAAAATAACAAACCGTTGACAACGATTGTAGGAAATGGATTATTCCCCTTCCCCCCAGTTTGACAGGCGGTGACAATGGTTACTTTGCCGATACAGGCCCAACAAAGCTTTTCAACACTGTAACATGAAGCAGACTAGGACAAGGTCTTAATTACACTTTCTGTAAAGATACTGGAATGCTCTGGGCATGCTCACAACTAAGAGTCTGGTGGTTTTTAGCACCAGTTCGTGGGTATCTATGGCTTAGTGCGATCATCATCAACCAAGAATTTTTCCTCAGGGAAATGGATGCTGTATGCTCACCTGCAAACCCACATCATGTTTTCAAAAGGACCCCCATACATGACACTGCTCTTACAGTTGAGTTTTCCCCTACTTTTCTTACCTCCTCCCATATGGCCTACCTAATGAAAAGGCACCCCTCTCAAGCAGCTGAATTTCAGCTTACTTCCAACAGCCAGTTCCTCTGTATCCCAGGACCACACTGCAAGCAGCCCACATACTCTCCCAGCTGGCACACTAATTTACTTCATACGCCTGGAATGCTTTTGCTTTTCTAGTCAGCTACCAAACGGAGCGAGCAGGTTACTGTACCTCTGGATGGAACTGCTGTTCTGTGCGAGTGTGGCAGTATTGGCATGAGTCTCCATTTTCACACTTGCTGGGATCTCCCCACTCATCTCCATGTTTCACACTGGGACATGGTGAAGATCTGTGTAAATAAGGTAGCAGGAGAATGCATCAGACCCACAAACGTGCTCTGAGCTTTGCTTCCTCAGCTGGGAGGCAGGTTCAGCTGCCCGCCCTCAGCTGTACAGTCTGTTTGGCTGGCTGCTGCTTCCCCCCCACCTTGCTGGTATTGCATCTTCTTCCCCCTCTTCCAATTTCCCAGTGAAAGAAACATGGTTAGCTCTCCATCTGAAACCAAATACAACCTGAACCAACATAACTTAACAATATTAGCAGCTGATGTGATTAGTGTCAGAGATGCCGGGTCTGGTTTCTGTTTTGGAACTGTACGTTCATAGAAAGCTAATAAGTTAATTGGCTAATCCTAAAACACGTAATACCCTTACAGTGGTATGTTTCCAGGGTTATAGTATGGCCATGTGGAAAAGAGGCTGAGTCAGGTCACTGGGGAAAAGGCAAGTCAATTTTCTTTCTCCCAGACAGGAACAGTTCTTTTTCCCAGTTCCGAATTTTTGCTGTGACCTACTTCCCCTGCTCTTTATGCTCTTAACCGTTCCCTCCAAAAACAGCAGAGGGAAGCAGATAGCAGCAGACGCCTGCAGCCACATCAGCTGGGGGCGGGGAAAGCAACACAGAAGGGAGTGGAGATCAGGAGGGGTCTTCCCTTCCCAAAGGGCCCAGGCAGGGGCAGAAAGCACATAGCTGCTGCCTGAAGACTGGCTTAATGTTTCTGTTTCTCCTGAAGGTGTTGGGATTAACGTTCCTTTGATTTTTATTTATTTAGGTTTTTAAATACAGGATTTCAGTGCCAATTCAAAAATTTCTGTGAATGTTGGGGGTGGGGAAGGGAAGTGAGAACATCCATGGTATTTTCTCTCCTGGCTTTCTGGTCTGCTCTTATGTTTTTCAAAAAGGAACTAAGGAAAAACCCCACTGAGACCACAACAAAAGCTCTGTTGTGTTGGAGGAAATGAGGGCCTATAACTTGGATGAAACACGTTCAGGGAGACGCGGCATGCTGAAAATCCAGCAACAGCTGAGTGAGGAGAACACCCTGGTGTCTCAAAAGCACAGTCTTTAGCAGTTGGTTAGGAATGCATGTCCAGCTACAGTACTGGTCACGATTCCCATCATCAGGCACACACAACAAGCAGCTTGATGATTCTGAATCCTTTATCATGAAAACACTGCTGTGTGAGTTTGTTTCTAAATGGGGATTAAAACTTTCTTTTGTTTTCCTTTTCCTGCACTGCTTTCTAAAGCAGGAGTTTATACAGTAAGAGGAAGCCAGACACAGGTTTTCTGTTTGCCTTAAAACCAGAGTTGTAACATGATTTAGCAACAGTCATTTATTAGAGATACTGGTTCCTATATACCACAAAACTCCTTGTTTAGTTTGTTATCCTGTCTCCCAGGCAGAAGTAACAGTCCATCACATCTGTCAGTACAGGCCTTGGAGAAACACTAAAAAAATCATCTAGTCGACAAAATCCTGGATCATTCATTACAGATTTCTACTACACCTCACCACGCAGCTGGGAAATAGAATATCCAGGACCACAGTACCTGTATTTGTGTTTTCGTGGGCTTCTTCTTCTGTCTTTGCTATTGTGGTAGTAGGGACAGGCATAACCCTGGCGACAGAGACGGGGGGGTTTCTTACATTGCTCTGTCTTGTAATTTCCCAACACATATGTTGTATCTGCAAAAGAAGCAACCAGTTAGTGGAAGATGACCATGATATGTATTTACTATACAAAAGTTTGACAGGAGCGGGCACTCCACAAACACCAGACTTTCCCAGCGCCACAGACCCTAAGTGACACTCACCTTGCCACCTTGGCTCCTCACTGAGTATTTTCTCTATCATAGCATGGCTAGCAGCAACTGCAGACTGACCCTCTATGCCACCTTCTGATGTAGTCTGACCGTTCTGCAAAGCCTCCATCGCCTGAAGCTCCCTTCGTGGACAGAGTTAAATGAATATACAGACTGAGCAGATGAAGAGACAGATAAAGGTGTATAAAAACTGACATACTGGAGCGTGGTAACAACTCCTAAGCGGGTGCATTTCATTCATGCATTTTTTTGTTAGAACATCTTTAGTTGAACAGCAACCGCAATTCATGTTCTTCATTCCCTGGGAATTCCAGATGCATTACTTGGACCCCCCCATTGGACTCCAAACCACAGCACAACTAGTTTAAAGTGTGCTCTCTTTCCCCAGTTTGAGTATCGTCCCCAGAGATTTTACAGATTTGCCTTATTAGGAAGGCATGTATCATCATCACTCCAGCACTAAGCATTTCACGCTGAAGTAGTACTGTCCTTCAATCGTCTGACTTTTCTTTTGGGTACAGAAATTACCCTTTTCATACAGAGCCCCAACCTCTACTAACCTGATGTCATACACCGGAGAGCGTAGGTCATGGGGCCCATGAGCAAATGCGCAGTGGACTCCGTTCTTTGTGCAGTTTCCCTTGGAGTCCGTCTCATGAATGCAGATTCCAGTTTTGTAGTAGCGCAAGTGATACCTCCTCTCTGTGTCTCCAGTAGTTCTATGCAAGAAGGGACACCTGAGGTACAGGAGGAGGGGGGAAGAACAGCCAAAGTTTAGTCACACAGGTGATGGACTCAACACTACCAGAAGACATATTGCCGATACAGGATACTGTAGTTGACAACCCCTTTGCTAATTCTGCCTCTTCTCTTATGCTGTGCCTTCCAAAGCTATACAGAACCCCTAAACCTGTCACTACACAGTATATAATAGTTTCCCTCCCAAAAAGACAGCTGGATTATTAAGCCAGCAGCAGGTTATTATTCTAGTCTAGTGACTGCCACGGATCTGGAAAAGAGCAAGGACACTGTCAAGGAGTTCTGATATACTAGCCATGATTGAAGGGACATCACATGGCACATACCATTTCCTCAGCAGCTCATCTAGACTTCGTGCTGTTACTGTTTCCTGCAAAAAAGCCTATCTATAGCCAGATGCATCCTTTATGCAGGGCACGGGACAAGAAAGGAGAATTGCAATACTACTGTTTTAACTGATATTTTGTTTCACCCTCTTAGGCAGAAAAAGAACAATCTACACTGAGAAATAAAAAAAAAAACCAACAAGATGGAATAGGTAAAGTTTAGATATTGCAGCATCAAGCTAAAAATACAAATCAGCAAAGAGTTCTGAGGTGGCAACAGTTTTCATTCACTGAGTTTGAGCCAGATACAAACAAGTGATCTAGAAGCCAAAGCCCCCAAATATCCTATTTCCAGTCCCTTCTAGTTCTCTTCTAAAAGTAAGAAAGTATTGAAACTGAGGCCTCAGGCTGGGGGATTATTCCATTCTGCTGTAGTCACCAGATCTTTACTTAATCAGGTAAAAAAATATTGTTTTCCCAATAAATAGCATTTTTTTGTGTGTGTTTATACTGGCACCATGAGAGGGAACTGAAATTCCATCTTTCTATAGCATCTTTATATAAAACACTCCCTACATTTGACCACAGTTTGGCTACACTATTTGTTCTTCCATATCTGTCACGTGGCTAAAGTTTATTACTGGGTTAACCCTTTAATTGCTGGAGTCTGCCACATGCACAGCAGAAACACTTGCATCTCTGCTCCAGTGAAACTTACCACAGTCACAGGGAGAGAAGACCCAATAAAACAAACTCTTTGGGACCTGCCATTCCCCTACAGGCTTCTTAAAAGTTCAGGAAGACAAAATAAACTGGCAAGTAACCGATATGATTTAAAAAGCTGGGGATAGATAATTCAGGGCACAGACTAGAGGACAAAGGTATTCCTCTGTCGGCAAGCTGTTAAAAACTAAGCTACCCTGCTAGCGAGCAAGAGCTATTATTTGACAGTCAGGGACTTGTGTGAACAGAGTCTCTCTCAGTCCATTCGTCAGCGAGCTGTTTTTCACACCCCAACTTCGCTGAAGATGCCAAGGCTCACGAGGACACTGAACGACGCAGGAGCGTCCAACTCACCCTTAGTATCATCTCTGCTGCAGGCCTGGAGCACATGGGTTGCTATTACAGTTTTTACATCTGTTCTCATGTTACATATGTTACAAAGCTGCTTTACTGCTGACTTGCCTCATCTCTACAAGAACTGGCTGGAATCATCACCTGGACTGATCCCAAAAGCCTAATGCCTGAAAAGCAGGGTGCAGTCTTTACTTACTCATCTCCTTCTGGGCAGATTCCTGTGGTCTCGTCGTACTTGGTACAGTAAATGTCAGGGCTGTAGTTAAATGTACCATCCCGGCGGCGGATAGATCTGCGACGACGCTGGTTGACAAAGTGCCAGTGGAAGCAAGTGTAGGGCCGGTGCTGAGTGCACTTGTGCTGCACGAAAAGAGGGCACTGCTCCGTGCGGAACTCCTTCAGGTAACTGCGGGCAGAAATCCAACAGCAGGAGATCAGGACCGGGATGCTGGTCAGAGGCAATATCCAAACACCCCGCAGAGTCCAGGCCAAAGCCAGCCGCATCCATCACAGAGATGCCTGCTGTCCTTCCCACACCCTCCCCTGCTTTCGCTCTCAATAATGGAGGCTGGAAGCTGCTGCTTGTCTGTAGGGGGAAGATATCAGTTACCAGGCCAGTTAACACAAACATGGATGCTAACAATAGCTGAAATCGCTCTCTATCATGCCTTTCAGTACCATTTTTAAGAGGCTTTTCATGAGCTTAGAAAATAGTTTGTGAGAAAATAGAACTCTTAAGTACCTTTCTATCCACTTCTATCTCTAAATCTGAGACCTGTCGGGGCAAAAAGGGGTTTCCTTTCTAAAAGATATATGTTCAGTTTAAAAACAAAACCAAGAAAAATACACCTCCTTGTAGCCACATTTAAAGCTTCAACTTACTGAGAGAGAAAGATTTTTAAAAGACTCTTTTTCATGCCTTGTCCTCCTGGTTTAACTCGGCTTCTTCTTCAGTACATGGTCGACTATGAAATTAAAATTAATCAGTTTCTCTCTCACAATCTTGTGAATTCAGGACTCAGTCTTGAAAAGTGGGATAACTATCCTTAAACTCCTGCATGTTTATGTGCTTTATTTTTAATATGTAATTCTCTGAAAGTACGTGTCTTCTTTTATCCTGAGAACTACAGAAGTCACAAGCTTTTATTTGTGACACTAATAACAGTCTCTAAACCCAGATTGTAGAGGATTACAAAATGGTTTAGATCAACATAATGATCTGACTGTGATCTGTGTGTAGGTGCTTACAAAATCCATGCTGCCTGAAACCCACTAGCTGCCCTGTATTTATAGGGAACATGAACACTTCAAGTAGCTCAGACCCGAATCCCACCGGGTTCGGTCTCAGAGACACCTCCAAGAACAACACAGAAGGCCCAGAGCAAGCAGTCGTCGGGTAATTGCATCCCACAAGTCACATTCTGGTCTCCTACATTTAGAGGTCAGTTTAAACAGCGAGTAACAAAACTTATCGGTCAAAAGTGCTGGTATTCTGCTGGAAGCAACAGGATGATGTAACAGCAGACATGGATTCATTTTGAACTGCTTATGTACTCCGAGGCAAAAAAACAGAGCATAGGAATTTGTCAAGTATTCACTCCCGTATCAGACAATCTTTCTATCGTGTTTCTAAATAAATGGAAAGATGTCTGATGCCCAAAGATGTACTTACAGATAATAGCATTCACGCTAGATTCCTTCTGAAAGCAACATCTGTAAATAAAGCTTCCTTTCCTCTTTATCCCTGGCTGAAGAGAAAGCCTCAGGAAAATGCACAAATTCAAAGTGGTTTTATTTGTTTGCTATGAAGAGAGAATATCACTGGCAAGAGCCTTCCTACATTGGATTTTGCTAGCATGAAAGGATAAAAGCTCTTCCACCTCTTCAGCCTCCAAACATGTGAGACTCGCAGGTTCCACTGCTTCAGATCCGCAAATGCTCGGGGCTGGAGAGCCTCCGCAGCGCCTGTAAGCCCTTTTCCACCTAAGCCCATCTGTCCTCTGCAATCCAGTGTGGCTGGAACAGCATCTGCATCGGGGCCCGAGGTCTAACATCAGAAAAAATGGAGCCAGTGTGCAGAAGCAGGTCTGTTAGGAGTAGGTGAGGGTTAACAACATCACTTTGTTCCTTTTCACTTTTAAAAAGCTGGCTCCATTCAAACTGAGATCCCTACTCCAACCACATCAGCAATTCATCTGAAAACTGAACGCCGCAATAAAATTAATCCATTCCTGAAAAGCTTTCTCAGCTGTTGGACCAAGTACAGTTGTAAAAAGTGGAATTCCACAGATTATCTTATCAGCGCACTAGTAAGACTTAGAACAAAAGTGACTGTAACAACATTTAGGTTAGAAAGTGAATTACGTAAACTTAAGCAGCATGAAACTTAGACTGCCATCCAGAGACACTACGCAGTCACCAACCAGTCCCTTCCACCCATACATCTCCACGTACACCTTAGAGACATGAGGTTTATGTTACTCCCATTTTACATACAGAGAAACTGCAAAACAGCTGGCTACGTGCCCTGACCAGTATCATACAGCAATTGGAGTCAGTAACACAAACCAAGAGCATTTAAACTCCTCCATCTTCACTGACATGAGTCCTGGGCTTAATTTGAAGAACAGCATCCTGAACCTCTTCAGTGCTCTGGAAACTAAGGGAAGATATCAGGCCTAAACAACCTGGGTATCAAGCCCAGCACTCCAGACTTCTAGTGATAGGCATGTATGAAACACTGTTAAAAACCCTAAAATTTAACAACTGCATGATCAACCGAGCTGAAACTGCTTCCCTTTAGCAGAAGAGTTTAAAAATGTATACACTGACTAGGGAGTTCGGTCTCCGGAGTGTCAATTGTGGCTGAAGAACATTTGAAAATTAATTGCATTTCATGATTGGCTAAACGCCCTGGAGAAACATTTATTATAATGTAAATGAGAGATAATTACATAAGTAAATGGTTCACCTGAAAAGTGTTTAACACCTAACTTGCTTCATCAGAAACTCATTCTTTAATGCTCCCTATTAAATAAATGATCTCTCACTCCTAATTTCAAAGCAAGTCCTGCAAACAGGTACCACTGAGCTCCACACAACCCATTAACTGTGCGTGATCACCTCTGCAATAGACCCAACCGAGGAAAAGGAGTTGTCACATTAACTCAGTCATTTCAAGCCTTTCAATCACTGCTTTGGATTTTCCTTTTTTTCAAGCCACTACAACATTTTAAATCACCCTCCTCCACAATAGCCTGAATGGTAAATTGCCTTATTTTCTTGATCCATGAAGTGAGTTTTGGCTCCTCTGGGAGAACACGGAACACTCAACCAGCCACTTTGTTTTAAAATATATGAAAGGCATCTAAACCACATGTGTTTTGGGAACATAGAAAGGATACACAGACCGCGCTACCGCAATGTGATGGCTCACAAAGCAGAAAGCTATTAATATTTCAGTAGCCTCTTTGCAAAGGCCCTAAACAGAAACGCAGAAAACACCGTCATGACAGATTCTTCTGGTGTCAATGGTCTCTATAAATTTTTTCCCAGAACAGCTGAGAAAAGGAATTTTTGAACGACCCTTGAAACTGAAAACATGTTGATAACTGGTACACATTTCACAGGGTGTCAGCCAAATGCTGTGTCTGTACAGGAAGAGGAAATCCAGCAATGATAAGTTGCATTTCTCAACTCCTCTATAAAGATTTCAGGAAACTATACAGCCCCACATGAGGGGCAGAAGAATTATTACACCTATTTTATATAGGAGTTACTTCTATATTTAGTCAAAAAAAAAAGTGAAACTAATCAGTTCTGTATTGGCCTACTTTACATGCACTTTACATGTATGTGTGTATATGTCATATTTTCAAACAAAATATAATTTTTTAAAAAGTGGAAAGCACATAGCATGGTGGTCTTCTGGTACTACATTAACATCAACAGCAACACCCGCATTCCTGGAGGAAATGTTATCATTTATGAGTCCTACTAAACAAAGACAAATGCAAGTCTAAACAAATAGGACAAGACCGGCCAGAACAATGTAGATCAAAGTCCCCAGGCTGAATTGAACTTGCTGCCGAACAGGATGGACGCTACTGGAAACGAAAGCTTATTTCACTAGGAAGACAACAGGAGAGATTCTTAGACTAGCTTTGGGAACTCCCAGAGACTGACAGGGGCTGCAAACTATTGGAAAAAACCCAATGCTACTTCGCTGAAATTCCACTTCCTCTGGGGTGGGATGTGGGAAGGGGCAGTAATTACTCTCCACAAGAATTTACACTAGAGGGGAACTGCTAACTGTCTTTTAATTGCTAGTAGCAGCTGGACTCTCCAGGGCAGGGCAGCAAGTGTTTACATCTGCAGCTAGTAATTGCAGCTAGTTTTCCCTCTGCCCTGGAGGAATGGAGTGGCAACCTGCTTTGGGAGCTGCAGGAAAAAAGATGAGCGGGGTGGGGGAAAAAAGAAAAAACTGTACTTCCAAACACCACCACCAGAAAAACCAAACCTAGAAAGAAGAGGCGGGGGGAGAAACCACGAAGAAACTCTAACCTAGAAGAAGTTTCATTTTTAAACTCAACAATGGCAGCCTTGTCCTGGTCACATTCACTGCTTGCTGCTGCAGAGATCTCTTGCTTTGCTGCAGCTTTACTAGTTTGGCTCTGTTCGCACCCGGTGCGCTCAAGCGGCTCGGTACGGGAGGATTCCTGTATCCGTACCACATTCCAGGGCTGGAAACTTTCTGCCAAAGTTGACACAAATCACACATGCAGTGGAGTGGGCTCAATTCAGGAGAACATGCTGGTAATGCACGAAGACAGCTGAGCTCTACATTCCTCATTAAAAGCCTTACCCAAAGCTCCCTGAAGTCACTGGAAGATGCACACTGACGCCAAGGGAGAAGTCTCTGCTTTGTAACAGAGGGATCAGGAAGACTGGCGAGAGAAACAATACTGAGGAGCATGGAAACAAAAGGATTAAAACCAACTCTTTCAAACCCTTGTTGCACCCATAACAAAAAGCTAGGCCCTCCTTTGCTTCCAACACCCCCTGCACTATCTGAAATCTTTACGTAGGCCCCGAGATAAGCTCCTCACCTTTGCAGCCCTCCTTGCTCCTCCCAGTCAATCCCCTTTCTGCCAGAATTCCTTTTGGGCCCAAAGAGAGCACGGAGGCTCATAAACAGGATCTGAAACTTCTGCAGCACTATGACACCAGAGAGAAAACCATTAGATAATTGTTTGGCTAATCCAGACTAAGACACTGTCTGTAAATGTAGGACAATAGTGAGATCTAACACCACTGTCATCTAGATTTCGCATACGTGTGGGTGTGTGTTTACACCCATGAACTACGCTAGAGCACCCTCACTAAAGGCCCGCATTAAGCAACCGGTACCAGCGCTTTTTATCTGGTGTGAGACCAGCGTAAACCTCGGACATCTGTTACCCCAGCGGCAGGTCCACGCTCGAAGCACTGGCTGCCGTCAGTGGGGCTCCCCCCTGCAGCTGCTCCTTGGTCACAAGGAACTGACCCAGAGAAGGGACCCAGGGCACCTTCAGACAGCACAGGGTCTGGTCGTCTCCAGAAAGTCCAGCCTGGCACAGACACTTTAGGAATTAGTAGCTCAAGACTGTATAAAGATTCTTAGCACTAGCTACTGTCCAAAAGAGCCCACAGAGGCAAATCTAAACCAAGAAATCTGCAAATAAAGTGTTTGGTTGTATGTTGGTTTTTTTAAACCAAGGCTTAAGTTCCTGATAAGATTTCAGATACCGGAAAGAAAATGCTCCTCTGCCATTACCATTTATTTTAGCCCATGTGTCTTCTCTCAGCTGAGGACCACACTGGCAAAGATATCATTTCATCAGCATAAAAGTGCACGGGAATGCTGGGGGCTTTTGCTGGCACTTTTATATCAGTCACGTCCTGCTGTTTCAGACAGGACTGCATGAGGCCATGGACCTCTTCGTAAAGTTTCAGGTGGTCCCAGTTCACCTCACTTGCAGACAGACATCCTTCCTGAATACTGCAGTCTGAATGACAGAGGTCACTGCTCTCAGCTACTCATCAGCTTTCCTTTGCTGGAAGCTCCTACTGGCACCGATCTGTCCAGACAGCAGGCTGGGGAAAGTTTTCCTAATTCAGTTTAGGAAAAAAAAAAAAAAAAACAAAAAAAAATCACCAGCTTAGCTTTAAAGTTTAAATTAGCAGTTTGAGCTAACACAGATAAAATTATCTGAAGTAAACCAGGGTGTGCTTACCCAACAGACTGCCTGCAAAGTAGGCAGCATTGCAAAACCCAGGAGAAAATATCTAACCGTAGATATAGATGTTTCTAATTCAATAACGCTTATCTATTGAAAATATTTTCAAAACTGCTATTTTCTTCTTAAGCTCAAAGAGCCACCCCAACACAAGAGGAAAAGAGCTGTCCATATCTAATCAGCTCTCTAAATTCATTTCATCCTCATAAAATTTTATTGCAAAAGATATCAGACACACTTTAAGTAAGAAACCCATGACTCAATTATTTTCTTTTACTGAACTGTGGTATTCCAATTGAAATGAGTCAGTGGTGCATGACAGAATCTACTTATTCCAACAGGATACTCAATAAAAATCCTACTAATGCACCTTTCGTTTAACATATCATTACTGATAGAGAAAACCCATGATATGCAGTTCTGACATTGCTCAGGAGCTTTTGCTCTTCGGGTAAAGAAGATATTCCAGAACAAGAGAAGAAAAATGGGGATTTAAAGAATAGTGTCACTTCAAAATAATTAGTCCAGAATGGATATTCTGGAACAGCTATTCAATTTCTCTGCATTGGCAATTCCCTATAAAAACCCTTACACATCTCTTGGCAAATCAACAGGGCTACTAGAAGGCTTGGCTTTTTAAGGAATCCTTCGGTGTAGGAAAGAGTTCGGGAGGCTGCCTACCTTGGGGCTTTTATTGCTTCCAGTCATCACAGAGTCCAAACCCTTCCGGAGAAAGGGTTTGATACCAGCATTCCCACGGCATCTTATAAAATGCTGGCATTTCAACGAAAAACAAGCTTCCTGACAGGGAACATAGCCTTCAACTCTCAAGATGTCTGGGATTTGGGAGAAAAAAGTGAAACAAACAACCTAACTTCACAGGAGTTGTAGTTCCTTGTTCCCAGCAACGAAAAGCAAGCTTCCTGACAGGGAACATAGCCTTCGACTCTCAAGATGTCTTGGGATTTGGGAGAAAAAAGTGAAACAAACAACCTAACTTCACAGGAGTTGTAGTTCCTTGTTCCCAGGGGTGGGTTCAGGACAACCAAACCCCTCGACCAACAGCTGCAGACTACCAGCAGCCTGGATTACAGTCTGCCTAAACCTCTGCAAGGAAATGTTTAGCATCCTTCTAACAAGAGCAGTAGTTAGGACAAGTCTGTTTCAATGAACAATATTTTTTACTTAGTGGCAGATGTAATCTAATATTGAAACAGAGCCTCACTGGAATCACTGCTGAATATCAAATAACAAACACTTTTAGCAGCAATCTTGAAGGTTTTCATCATGATTTCAGGAAAAGTTCTGACGAGGTTTTACCAGTAATCTTCATCAGTTACTGTGGCTGACCACATATCAGACACACTTTAAGTAAGAAACCCATGACTCAATTATTTTCTTTTACTGAACTGTGGTATTCCAATTGAAATGAGTCAGTGGTGTGTGACAGAATCTACTGCGATACTACTGTGGCTGACCACAGTAACTGTGGCTACTGTGGGATATCTCCCCATTTTCCATATTTAATGGTATTTTCCTAAATAACCTGAGACCTGACCAAATCCTCACACTTGGTATGAAGAAGAGCTTTCGCATACACCATGCCTCACTTGACACGAAATGCAAACATCTCTCTCTCAGTACATCTCAACAACTATCAGTCTATTTGCCTTTCCATACCCTCAACAGCCAGGTGCAGTTTTGTAAACCTTGAAAGGATTAGAAAGCATTTAAACCTCAAAGAAAAATATATGGATCACTTTATAAAAACAAAAGGCTGACTGTGAACGTGAGGAAGGAGAAAAGGATGAGGAAAAAGTTTCAGTAAGCTCACATCTGTCAAGAAGATAGACTTCACATGCCTCAGTGTTTTCTTTATCACCTAAATAAATTGAACCATCAACTAGAAAAAGGTCACACAGCAGACAGCACTGTGTGATTTTAAAGCTGTTAGATTTCCCCTTCTCCATTAGAGCTTGACAATAATGTCAGTCTAAGGGCAAATAAAGAAAGTGAGAGTTGGAGAGACTTATTACAGATGCATGGAGTTGGGCGTGTTCGGTTGTGGAGGTTTTTTGTTTTAAGAGTTCGTATAACTCATTGTGTACCTCAGCGATCACAAAGACAACTGCTCACATCCATAGCCCACGGCTCCCCCACTTTTCACTACAGAAATAGGTAGGCAGCACTCACAAGTTTTCCTTTTTCTAGGCATCTGATTTATTTACCAAGTAAAGTTGAGCTGGACACTTCCAAACAAATGCTAAAAGATAGTGTGTACTGCAGAAGCTAAAACACAAACTGCTAGATTACAGAAAACTAAGGATAACACACCAACAAGTACAATAGTCATATTCAACAGTAACCTGATCGCTACTGTAACCCTATTTTTGGATTTCAAAGCAGATCATGGGGTGGACAACAATGCAAGTAATTCAATTGAACCGCAAGGAAAGAACTATCTACTACCCGTACTTTATAGATAAGAACTTTGACTGACTGACTGCAAAAGTCCATGCTAAAAATAACACGTTGGCAACTATCAGAAGCAATCGAGACAATTTTCAACAAAAAGAAAAATGTCAGACACAAACAGTTGTGTCTTGTCTACACTGAAAAACTAGGGAAAAACAAAGAGACACGCTACAGCATGGTGCCAGCTCATCACGGGAAGACAGCCTTGCACCAGTTTCAGGCAAAACAGTTTGGTTTCCACAGTTATATCAAAAATGGCTTTGTTTGGAGAGAAATACCATGTTGTAGCTAAGTAGCTCACCAACGCTCTGTCTTGATGAGGAAAGAAAATTGAGGCTTTCAACTCGGAGTTAACTCAATAAAATGAACATTTATGACATTTGTGAACAGCCAAGACACAAGTTCCACTGACTTACAATCGTGTTACAGCCTGCGGGTAAAAGAGGTGCTTGTTCAGACTTCCCTTGAGCTGTGCATACACCGAGCGGTGTCATCCAAACCCGACGAATAAAACAATTTGAATCTTTTTTTTTGGCAGTGTTCTCTCTTTAAAAAGCATACACTTGTTGCGCCAGGGGACCATGAAATGTATATGACCAAGACATACCAATAAAATCCATTTTAAACACAAGTGTTTGTTTACACAGAGCTTTCACCTTTTTAATTAAAACAACCCAAGCACGGGCATATGCAAACATTTAACTGCTCTACATTTCAGAGATGTTTCCTTGAAAGCCATTCAGCAAGATCCAGAACTCTGCATAAAGACTTGAGTTTACATTTCCTTGAGTTTAACCTCTTTTTTTCCCAAATTAGTTGGCCATGAATATGTATTACTTGACATGACCTCAAAATTAACTAAGCATTTAGACAGTTCATGCAATGTTTTAAAAACACAGCCAATTTTTTCCAAGTTTGAATGACATATTTTCAGTTTGACAGTGCTAGTTTATGTAAACACACAGCTGCACCTAGAACACACCTCCCTGTTTTCAAACATGGATCACCCCCAACTGAGACAACCCTCATCGCTCTGTGGGTTGGTTTCTGCTCTACAAACTATTTAGCTGCCACTGATCCTTCCCTACAGCACCAGTGTAAGTGCCAAATCTATGAAAACAGAATCACATTGAAATAATTATTTTTCAGTAACACGTGGGTTGAGCCTAACTGTTTCAGTGAAAATACTGGAGCCTACTGCATCCAGATAGCTGTACACTGTTGAAGGTTTATACCTGGTTTAGCTGTCAGCACAATATATCAACGTGTGCTTAAATATCAGCAGTTAAATATTTTAGTACTAATTACCTCACAAAAACATCCATCCACGGACTTGTCTATTATGGTCATTTATTCAGCTTACATCCAGATAAATTTTCTATCTTACATTAACTGGATCGGATAGATGATGCTTCTTTATCCTGGCATGAGTGTTTGTAGCCTCAGACACATGGAGAATGTCTGCAGAAAGGCAGAGTTCAAACGGAGTTAACACGCACCAGGTTTGCTGCACCAGACTACAATGAATTAAGGTCTGAATAATACACTGATGTCCTGAGCTGTAAAAATTAAAGTTCCAGCTTCTGGTAGAGTTTTTCCACACTGCACTTCTCTCACCATCGATTCAATCACCAACAAAGCCTACCCAGGGCTAGCAACTGTAGAAACACTAGTGAAGGCTGGGAACAGGGCTGGGCTGTTTTAAAACTTGTGTTACTCACTCTGCTAGTTCCCTAAAACAAAACATCCCACATGCAAGAATTCGTAAAGGGTAATTCAGAAAAATATTATTTCCATACAAGCCATTACATAGCTCAGGGTTTCAGTTACAGATTTTTATGAGCATTTTTAGGTGGCTAACCTTCAACATCTTGTCTCATAAGAGGTGCTTCAGAAACAGAGCACAGTAGCCTTCCTTCTCCTGACCACGCCAAGAACCCTCATGATCTGACAACAGCTCGTAGATCGATTGCAGCCCCCTACTCACAATAGTTTTAAGTCAGTGCATGAACTGTTTGAAGGTCTGTACTTACACAGGACGAAAAACAGAAAACCAAAACTCCACAAGAAATGATGGATCTATAGTACTCTCATCCAGATCAATCTACATTCGAAAATGAAGTGGCATCTGCTTCTTCTCAGGTTAAATGCCAACCAGATTTGCAGCAGCCTCTTTGGAAAGGCTTACACTTGTGAACAGACATTTTCTCTTGTGAATTTCAAACAAAACACAGTGATTATCTAACAAGCATGAACCTGCATCCCGTAACGCATGTGCCAGCAGAAAGATAAAAGCCAACTCTTACTGGCTGATTTTGAAGAATCAATGTTAGCCATTCAATCGATTTTTCTTTTCCGTTCAGCACTCGCATCAGACTTCATCCATGTCTGCTACAGCCCAGTGGACTCTTTCGACACTCCACAAGGCAGGCACACCTCAGAACAAAAGTCCTACACACACAGACAGACTGGTCCAAAGAAGCACCATTATACGACCCCACGCCAGACTGCGCTTCAAACAGGTACGTCGACATCAAGACGTATACCGGCTCTCCGCCAAGAGGACGGCAGTCAAGCCCCAGGCTATACCACAACTTCTCATTTTCCATTTTGACTAATCAATACAAGAATAAATCTGGTGGCACTCTCAAAATATTTTAAATCTGCAAACAGTATTTTTTTTGTTGTTGCTGTAAAGCTGCACAATTGCCCTGAGGCATCTGCTGTTTTTATTTCTGCTATGATGGTAATATTCAAGTGCTATTAATGAAAGCTCACAGTCTATTGAAAATTAGAGGAGAAAAATCACCTCTGAGCATATTGGGTGCGGACTAACAGCTTCTTTTTGAACTGTGGTGACATGCCAAAGATGAAGGCTAATAAGTAAAACAATATTGACTTTAATTAATTCAGATTTTTGCAGATATTCATCAGGTATAGTTTCTTGAAACTATTTCCCGTTCCATATACGCATGACTGCTTATTAATCTAAAGAAATTCTAAGCATACAATGATAAAAAGCAATCCAACCTTAATTTCTTAACTGTAATTAACAGTGCCATCATTCTTAATAAGCCAGTATGCTCTACTGAAATGTATTTGCAGTTTTTGACCAACAGATAGCTAGGGATGGCCTAAGATTTTTCTTGTCTGACCACAAACTTGGTGTAAGTTTCCCTTCCGCCAGTGTTCTGACAACTATATTCAATTAAACGTCTCTGACTTTTAATGAGAGATAAGAATCAGGCCAGTATCAAGCATTTCAGTGAGCTAGCACTTTCATTGCCCTCATTGCACTTTAGCACTTAAAATTGAAGTATTTCTTTCAAAGAAAACCTAGGACTTTTCTTGTTGTAACAATAACCTTCTAAACCTGAATGAATATCATGGCAGGGTGAGGGTGCACGAGTCAGAAGACAGCCTGCAACAAAGCTAAGAAGAGAAGAAATTGTTAGTATTCATTTTAAGGGAACACTCATTCCAACTGATATTTCAAATGTCAAACGGGTATTAACTGCATCAAACACTGATCAAAATACACAAGACAGATTACTGAGAAAATCATCACAAGCATCTAAATTGGCTGTCATCACTAGGTGGAGTTTGAGAAAGTACAAGCTTTTAGCATCTCCCTATGCACCCTTCTGCTGAGGCTTTGTATTTTTGATTGCCCTGATACAAAAGACAAACTATCTCTCAATAAAGCAGAGAAAAAAGGTAGCTAAGAAATCGCACTTGCTCTACAGCCTGCTGGCACATGACCATTCACTGATTTGGGACACCGGGGAGCCGCTGGCTGGGTCTGTGCACGCACAGGGCATAGCTTTCAGTAACGACTTTGTACCCGATTTGCAAGTGATGTGCTGCATGTTTATGAAGTCTTTATAACATAGAAGCCTCTGTGATGGTCTCCGTCTTGTAGTCCACGATCTCACCAAAATCTAGTTTAAGGAGTTTTTAAGGAGGAAACTAACTGAGACAATATTAAAAAAAGCAACGACAATTAGGCAAAAAAAATTCTTAGAAACAGTTTAGATGTAGGTGATTCCATTAGGCAAAGGGATGGACCAGGAAACTTCTCACCACCTCTTTCAGCCCTGTCTCTTCTGCTTTCAAAAAGATTTATGAAGTTTTTAAAAAGCAAAAAGAAAAAGTTAACGCAAGGAACAAAACACCACCTCAGCATCCTCTGAAAATGAACATAGCTCTTAGGGTCCTGACAAGCAGGTTCTCACGAGCCTCGACACAGCAATTTAAGACATTATTGCTCCAGCCCTTTATTCTTCTCCTCTCTTAGAAACTACAGCTCCTTATGACAGGGTTAACAGAAGGGGAGATGCGCCTGCTCTCCGGCTGCCCCAGTTCGCAGCCTGGTATATTAATACAGTCCACCAGTGACAGTTAGCTCATGCTAATACGCTACACAATAAGCGTGATGAACTGATGTACTGACACATTCCTCCCGCCAGGTTGTTACCGGGGCAGTAACACCCAGCAAACAGCCCGGCAGAAGTGCTGTGATGCACTGCAGGAAGGTTTTCCAGAGGACGTCAGTCAGACCCCTTGTAACGAGAAGGCTGCACGTTTCAGCTGCTCACAGAAGTTAGAAAAACCTTATTCTGGTGGAAACAGTAGATCTAAAGGAAATAAAACACTGAATTCCAACAGAATTTTCCTTAAAATAAAGCCACACGATATAAAAAAATATTAGACAATACATAAACCTACAAAATGAGAAAAACTGATATAATGGGAAACTCTAAGCTCTGAGATTTTCTAAAAGAATTATTAGTTTTAATTTTGTCTCCCATGCCACAAAAAATTGTCCTATATGCTAATGTAAGCAATGTATAAGCATTAACATAATACCTTTTTTTTTTTTAATCAAAAAATTGAAGGAACCATTTTCCAAGTTGGAACAATTCTGCATGACTGAATCCCTCTCCTCTTGCACAGAGTTTTGGATTTTTGAAATACCAAGCCTAGCCAGACCAAAACCAATTCTGAAAATGTCAAAGCAGTACACGAAGCTTTTCACTCTGCAAAATATTTATATGCTGCCTATACAGCAGTTATCTGTATGTGAATTCCCTGTCACTTTCCATAGCCAAAAATACTCACTTATTAAGTGTAAACGTATCAAGCAAACCACAGCTCCAGTCCCCCTTCAACACAAGGGAGAAACACCTCGTGGCTCAACACGTGCATTAACCAGCAGGACAGCGCAGTGCTGCACGGAACCCAACGACCCACACCGCCCACCAGCCCATCTCCCAAGCTGCAGGCTTTCCACACGCATCCTTTGAAGAACCGTAAAATCTAGGGTGTTATTTTTCAGCGCGTGTATTCGGCGGTAAGCACGCACCACGAAGGCAGCCCTTCCTGTTCACACTCCAGTACTTTATACTTCCAACTTCCTGTAACTATTCACACTTCCTAACAACAGTTTGCGGTGGACTTGTACGCAGTGAAGTTCACACAGACTTAAAACATAGCAATAATAACCAGCTTATACTTGCCTGATAAGCTGACATTGACAGGTAACGATGCAGCGGACCGCTGGTAAGTCCCTGGGTTAGAAGTATTGACTTATTCTGTGCTTTCCTAACTATCCCCAAGGTTATTACCAAATCTGAAACCTAAAAATGCATGGGGTTTTTGTTGTTGTTGTTGTTTTTGTTTTCTGGGTTGTTTGTGGGGGGTTTTGTTTGTTTTGTTTTTTGTAAGTTCTGGTTTGGGTTTTTTTGTTTAAATAACAGGGCTAGTTTCTATTTTTATATAAGTCCGTATCAGCTTATTGATCTATGGGTTGTCACCAGTAAAACTAAAGCAGAATTAAGGTAACAGTTTGTTATTTTAAGAGTTCTGATGGTTTAAAAAGAACACAAAAGGTTTCTAAAAACAATTTCAAAAGCCTAAATGTATTTCCTAGGTTGTGAAGACCACCCAATTCAAGCACATCAGAAGTATAATCTAACAGACTATGCAGACAAATGCTAAGGGCCTTAAAAGAGCAAGCCACTTACAAAAAAAGCAACAGCTCTGAAGACGTTAGCTACACATCTGGTTTTTGGTTTACTTTCCACAGAGAGTCAGTCTGCACATTTGAGATCAGACATGCTGTGTTCACCCTGCCAGTGATAAGACACTGTCCACTGATCAGAAGATAAGGATTACTCTCTGCTACTACAAACGCTTCGAGGTGCGTTTTTGTGTGCCATTGGTTTTGAGTAAGAATTTAAACACAAGATTTTGAGATAAGACTGCGCGTGCAAGCTCTTCATTGAGATCCAAGTCCACCTATGATCTTGCTATTTTTGTTTCTTCTTCATCCATGTTTCCATCGCTGTCTTAATCAGAGTTCCTATTTAAGGCTGAGAAACCACCAGACACGGCACTACCCAAAAACATGCAGATACAAAAAAGTCTGTGATTTGAGCTATAACTACAGCGTTGCACCAATCTGATTTTCACCCCCACTTAAAATGTCCTTCACTCAAGTGCACTAGTCCTTCTCTCAATGGCTGGCATCGAAATGGTTGCAAGATAAAGCTTGGGTGAATGCAAGCCAGCAGTCGCTAACATGACAGCGCAACCAACTGTGTGGATGCAGTTCTAGCACTACTTACAGGGTACTAATCCTTCAGGAATTTCCCACAATTCCTCCCCTCAAAAGCAAAAGGAAAGACAAGTTTTTTGTCTTTTATGCTGCAAAGGCATAACCACAAAGCTTATCTTGCTGTAGTACAAAGGAGGACAGGACGCGCTCCCAGGCATCTCGGTCCAGAACTCCGGTGAGGGTACAGTCTGTGGGGACGCGGAAACCTGAAGTTTATTTACAGGATGGCTGCTCATATTTAAGACGGGCACACTCGAGAGACTTATCTTGAGCAGTGATGATCTGGGTTATGCCCAACAAATCTGCGTCCCAAAGAGTTTACCACCTAAATCAGAAAATTTTCAACGCTGCTTTTGAGCGTGTGCATTTTGAATAGACTAGAATGAAGGCACACCTCATTTTTTTATTAAATGGGTTAATTTATCTTCACCCAAACATTTGCTTTCCTGCAGGTATTAAACTGCCTGACTTCCAGGTGAATGCACACTGAACAAAGGACTGCTCCACTTTTGCTTATCTAAATTCTGCCAGATCAATAAACACCCAAGCAGCGGATACAATCTTCACAATTCACAATTAAAGAGTCCAGTCTGACTGAAAACCAATGAAGACAGCAACAGCTGAATGGATAGACTGTACCAAAACAAAACTACACGATACTACTCGGTATCCACAACTCCAAGTGCCCAATCACTTACTTTCAGTTTCTTTGAACTCGGCCTCTATCCACATTTGTAGATAACACATTAAAGACAGAGATAGATACACACAAAAATAACCATGCCAGCCAGAGGCAAGAAATGGTGCAAACTCAACACTTAATTGAGGTTTGACAGAGCGTACCCAAACCAAATCCACTTCCCACTACGAGCAGTCACCGCACAGCACCTCTCCCGAAGCAGACCAAAGCCACGCCAGCCCGCAGGTACCCCAGAAACGAGCCCGTCTGTGCGAGGAATACACCGACCTCGTCCTGCTGCGGGAGCTGCG